TGTGTGTGTGTGTGTGTGTGTGTGTGTGTGTGTGTGTGTGTGTGTGTGTGTGTGTTTACAGATGCCTTTGTCAGAGCAGGGCAAGAAAATATTTAATCGCAATTGTCCTTTGGAATCTCAAGCTTCTACTGTTTCAGCATCACTCCCTGCTAATCCTCTGAGAAGATGTGCTATGCCATTTTCTTTTCCCTTTTCAGCTTTGCATTGTTAAGATTACCAGGTAATTCTGTGCAAAACACAGCTATAATATATTTTGGTTTTAAAACCAACCATCTGATTTTCCTAAAATGTCCAAGTAAAATCAGAGAAATGCCAGAAAGTAGTTATTTAAAATAGGCGTTTAAAAATTGACCCCCCTTGAGAGTCTGCTTACAGGCCATTTCTCAATTGAAAGGAATATTTAATATTAGGATGTTTCTTCCCCCAGAACACACCTGGCCTTGGGGCATCATTTCTAAACTAGGCTGCCTACATACTACACCTAATAAGATGCACAGCTCACACTCAGCCCACACCTTGTTTTTCCACATCCCTCTCCTGCCAGCAGGCCAGACTCCAGAATCCCCCGACACCAGGGACTCGTGATGGAACTGGAGTACAACTGTTAGGTTAATCCTGGCCCACAGGGAAAAATTCACATACTCCCTACCCAGCCTAACCAGGTTGGAGGTGTCATTTGCTTTCTGGCCCCATAACAGAGGCACACAGGGACTGAAATCCAGTTTAGAAATGGAGGGCAGGCATTACTCAAAGCTCATGCCACAATCTGGAAATTTTGAACCTCGCATTTATGTTCAGCCCTTGCAAGAAAACAAGCAAAAAAGATCTTAAAGTGCAGCTATTTATGTGTCTCCAGAAGTTTAAAGGAGTTGTTAATGGGTTGTTCTGTTCTTGAGTCAATATAAGTTTAAAAAAAAAGTATGTGAACTTCTCTGACTTCAAACATGCTCCTATAATTAGCCAGACAAGGGAATGCTGGCCAAGAACTGCAGGCCAGACCCATTTGCTATTCACACAAAGTTAAAAATAATCAAAATCCAAATTTTCATTATCAGTTTCTCCTTAGCAATGCAAGTTCTACCTCATGGAACATGGCCACTTGTGTTTGCTCTGCACCTCAGGAATCCATGAGCAGCTTATACAGCTGTACTCCCATTTCACTCAGAACATGTTAAAAATAGAAGAACAAGACTGCACAGGTAGTCTTGATTGCTCCTGCATTCATGCAGTTGGGCAGATCTTTGAGAACATTTGTATGGGTGTTGGCTGTTTAGCATCACATACATGTTGCAATGTACACAATGAAAAGACTCAAATGGACTTGGGGTAGATCAGACAGGCAGGACAGAAGTATTGTCACTTCAAGTCTCTGTTCCACAAAGCTGGTTTTTTAATATCCATGTCACAGGAAAGAACGCTGCATTGGTGAACAAGGGTAACAAACCACATAGACACACTAAAGAATCAGCCTGTATTTCTTCTCTATCTTTTCAAGTGTCCAAATAATACCCTCAGCCAGCCAGCAAGAATCAAAAGTCTTGCTTTTAAGAAAGGAGGAACATCTTTTCTACTCCTCACCTATGGCTAAGACAGCTAGATGACACCCAGCTCTCTCAGTAAGAAGCAATCTAACCATGGGTAGCAAGTGCATCATAGGTCTGTGCAAAGCCCACTGGACTCGAAAGTGCTTTGGGCAAAGGGAAGTAAAGGAGGAAAGGATGAGAACACTTGAACTGACTGTTCCTTAGTTACTCCAGATGGAATAACAATGAGGCTTTTTTCCTTTGGAAGAAGTCCAGATTCATTTTTCATACTGGTGAGTCAAAGACCAAAGGGATAGCTGCTTCCCCAAACACTATGGTCAAGGCATTTTTCCTCTCTGTACAGCTGGGTGATTTTGATAGCTCTGGTCACAGAAATTAAAGGAAATCTCCAAATGCATTCATTTCTCACCCTGAAAAGTAGATTGCAGAACAGTTAAACCATCTACACAAGTTCTGGGGCGATAGGGTGGTAGGGACAAGCAGAGAAACTCAGAGCTATTTCTGTGTCTAAAAGCTATTTCTGCTCTTCTTCCCACCCTGCAAGAATAGGACCCACTCTAGGAGATGTGCTGGGAAAGGACACCAGACAGGAACTGCCTGAGAAGGGGGCGAGGTGAAAGGAATCAAACAGGGTGTGTCAAAAACTGTCTCTGCACCAGTCAGTCATTTGCCTGTTCTAAGTCTGGTAGCTGACATGCTCTTTCCAGTTAGCAAGAGATCTCCTGAAACAATACATTTGTAAGGTGAGTTTTATGAAAATCTATCTTGTTCCTGAGATAAGTGGATATGTGGGACAGATACAAGCAGAGCTAAAGACTGGTAGAAAGGGACCCAAACAGCAAAAGCCCCAGTGTTAATTTTGCACAAGCCCAACTGCCCAAAATCAAGAGAAAAAAATCTTGTAAAAATCCCTTGACAATAGATTCATTCTTTTTTTTAAACAAGGCAGCTGTTTAATGCACTCGCACATATATTTCTAAAAAATGTTCTCTCTCTTTGCATTTGATATTTCATTGGAAATGATGTACAAGGGCTAAAAGTTTCTCACACCCACACCCCTGCCTAAACCACCTCCTGTAGGAGTAACACAAGGCATTAAGGGAGTTCCTTTTCAGAAATTCTCTTCACCCACTTCGAGTCATTTCATGAGGAAACCCCACAACTTCACTACAGGAACTTTCTTCTCCAATTAATCTAACACCCCTCAGAGTCCTCCACCTTAAGTCTCCACAATTTAAGACTCCAAGTAAACATCTTCCCAACATTAAGTTGCTATCACCTCTTCAGTCCAAGATCAAAATCCCTCTTCCCTATTGCTAAAATAGCCACAGCCATCCAACAGCTTATAAAAATCATAGTCAACCACCCAGCTGCTTGTCATTTGAACTGCAAGCCCTTTGGGGCAGAGATTAAGTCTACCTCTAGGGTTGCACAATGCTATAAGAAGAACACCCACTTGGAGAGGTTACCAACCCTGGAAGGCAATTCATTCTCCTGTGAGAGTTCCCAGCTGGGTGAGTGCTCTCTTTCTGACGCTAGTGGCTTCAATTCTGACTGTGCTTCAGGAAGACTACTCCACTCAGAAGATGTGTGCCTAGTTCCTGGCACCCTCCCTTTTAGCCCTGGGGTTTTTTTTCTTCTCCACTCTCTTTCCCAAATCTGCCCTTCCTAGGGCTGGCTGTTCAACTTAATTACTGCTTCATCTGATCCTCTACATGAAAAAAGAGTGAGCTTGTTTCCAACTGAACTATTCGTTTTG